GTGTTGCTAGAAAAACAATACGAACCTGATCACATGGAGTCCTTCATTTCATTTAGTTTACTCAGAATTATCCAACAGAAATTTCCACAGTGAATGAAATGTTATGTCTGAGCTTCCCATTATGATAGCCACTAGCCTTAGGTAGTTAATGACCCCTCAAAATACAGTCTTATGATTTGAATTTTCAATTTTGTTTGATTTTAATTAATTAACATTTAAATTTTATAGCCATGTATGTCTCTATGGGTACCGAGTAGTGCAAGTCCAGGTTACTTGGAAAATATTAAGGAAAGAGCTTCTTTTCATTGACCTTTATGACTTTTTCCCCCAGCCAGATATTTGACTAATAAAAACATTAAGAGACTTTACATCTTGTATTAACCTGGATTAGGTTGGAACACATTCTTTTTAGTAAAGCATCACAAGAATGGAGATGCAAGAATCCAATGTACTCAATTCTAATATGAAGGCAGTAGATGAGCTAATACAAGGTGGGGGACAGCAGAATGAGTGAGCAGAGAGAGGGGAGGAGAGAGGAGGAAGGAGGTTATGATGTATGACACACCGCTTGAGGCGGGACACAATTATAAGAAGGACTTTATCTAACAACTGTGATCAATGTAACCTAATTCTTTGTACCCTCGATGAATCCCAAACAAACAAAACAAACAAACAAACAAACATTAGGTATTATTTGAGACTATTGATTCCTATATTGCTGTATACAAAGCTGCTGCTCAGGAGGATGGCCAGGGCAAAGATCCAGGAGTCGTTCTGGTTGTCTCCCTGGAAGTCAACACATTTGAGCTGGGAGTATATTTCATTGTCATGGCCCTTTCTAGATGAGTACTGATAAAAGTGGGTTCATTTAATTAGAGATGAGAAGAACTGATCTAAAGACGTTATTGGTAGGATATAGACTTTGAACAGTTTCTAATTAGTATTTTTGTTTTGAACTGATTCATTGCTCCTTGGGTCCTAGTAAGACCAGTGGTAGATAATTGCAAAATAAACCATTCAGGTTGGGGGACATTTCAAGCTCTTAAAGATGTGCCTTTATGCAAAGCATAATCGGCTTATACATAAGCAATAATAATTGCTTTGGGGCAGCTAAAGGAGAAGGATAGGAATCCTTTTACTTGTTGCACAAAATCAGAATTGGACCATTATAATGTACCTGAAAGTTTACATTACTTATTATCAAATGCTCAGACAATATTATAATGTAGATAAAGATCAATTCTACCCATTTTACATATCAGATTAGGCTAAAAAATAATTAAGATAACTTGGTAAAACCACAGAGTTAGTAGAAGACAGAGTTATTTGTGGAATACATATTCTCAAGGCTTCAGAAGCTAAATTCTTTTTTTTTTTTTTTTTGATGTTTGGAACTTTTTATTTATATTTTGGTCTTACAAATGATGATTTTAAAATGAAGATTTCTGTAAGAATATAAAACTCAAAAATTTGCCAAATATCAGATCCACACAAATCCTCTGAAAGGTTTTCTGTGTAGTCTTCATTAATGCAAATTTTTGTGAATGTTTCACAATAATGAAGCTACAGAGTTTTCAGGCAGTGCATTCATTATTAACTATAAACAAAATTTCTATTAAAATGAAGGCTGGGTAATAGAAAAATCTGAGCAACTCTGAGCAGCAGGGGATCTGTTGAGGCTCGGTATATCTTATTTGCTTTGTAGTTTTCTGTTATGACTTTCAAAGAGCACACAGCACATGAAGCATAGTAATCATCTGTCTTATTAACCTCCCTAATTTAAAAATCTGTTATTTGTAAAACTGGACCAATTATCAGAAACTATCATTTGCATAATTAACCACAGTCTGTTACAAAGCATTTTGTTAGTGGTATCAACAAATGCAGGAAGATGGAAATTTATAAAAGATGGGTTTTGCTAAGCTTGCCAACTCCTTAGATATCATGGGCCGTGCTGCCACTTCAAGATCTAATTAGATGTTTAATGCCTCGCAGTAAAAGGTTGATCGATGGAAGCAAGCAAAACTAAATTATTTCCTAGGTTCTGTAATATTTCATTTGATAAGGTAACAAAAAGGTCAAATTTAAGCAAGATTTATAAGCACTCCAACTTCTCACTCAGGAACTCTTCCACGCTGTCTGTTGAGGATGCTCAGCTCTTCAGCGATGTTCCCATTATCGTCCAAAAGCTTTAACACAGGGTCTGAACAAATCAACTACTTGATTTTTAGTCCTCTGAATAGTTTGGGTTTATCACTCCTGGCAAAAGCTCGGACTTGATGGAACCTTCCCAATTTTCATCCACAGACTTCAAGAATAGCTCCTGCATACAGCTTTTTAGTTTCAAATTGTGCTTCCTCCTGACAGCATCCTCTACAATCAGGATCCAGCTGAAGCAGCAGGTTGAACTGTCCAAGAATATCACAAGAGCTGCAGAGCAAGTTGCTAGAGAAGCCTAACTCTCTGCATGCCTCAGATGAAAACTCTGCCCTGAGAGCAGACACTGCTTGAAGCACAGTCGCCTATAGCAGCTGCAGCCCAAACGCAGGAACAAGCCTAAGGCCTTGCCCAACTGCCATCGTTCCCATCTTCTGTAGGTCTCTCCAGAAGCTAAATTCTTAAAAGAGAATTTTCTGCTGGATAAAACTCATGACAGAGATTTTATTGGTACCATTTTTATGCATTTGGGTTTACTGGATTAGTTCACAGATTTTAATGCTTAACATCCTGCCTCCTGCTTCGGTGCCCATAGCTCAATGAATATTGCACTGGCCACGTATACCAAGGCTGGTAGGTTCGAGCCCAGCCCAGGCCTGCTAAACAACTGTTGCGTGATGGAAAACCATTCCACTAACTTTATCTATAACTATTCTTAAACCCTAAAAAGAAAATAAGACCATAAAGCAAGCTTCTGGGAGAATAAGCTGATTGAATGCTTCACCTTCAATAGACTATCTGGAGGCAGCCATTCATCTTAGGGAGTAGACTGGAAATTCCTGACATATATGGGTACCTGTTTGCAGGCCAGTCCCTCCGAGGCTCGGTCCTAAATCATTTCTACATGATAAGGTCCTGAGCCACATAGTGAGTATTATTCAGGTCTTTCTACATTCTAACTCACAAAAGACTTCAAGCTTGCTCTCACAAAATGGAACTGTTTAAAGGCTTACTTATAGGCCTTCTGCCTATAACAACAATGACAAGTGCAACCAAAAAATAGCTGGGAATTGTGGTGGGCACCTGTAGTCCCAGCTACTCGGGAGGCTGAGGCAAGAGACTCGCTTAAGCCCAAGAGTTTGAGATTGCTGTGAGCTGTGATGCCACAGCACTCTACCAAGGGCAATATAGTGAGACTCTGTCTCAAGAAAAAAAAAAAAAGATTTTTAGCTGGAATGAGCTTTCTGTAAAACCACAGGATTTCACAGAAGTGGCAATTTCCAGGTCCCACGAAGTTAAGTCTGTAAATTCCTAAGAGCAGAGTCACCATGGAGAGGACCCTGCACGTTGTATCCTTGGGGTCTCCTTGAGAAGAAGGACTTCTTATTAGAACTTACCCTTCCCAGGTATCCTCTCTCACTACAACTACTGTAAGATAAGAACAAAGCCCACTTGGGGAGATAAATAAAAGGACTACTCTCTCCCCACATACATACACACTCCTAATATAACTAAAACATGTACCTCCCCTGTGGGGACCAAGAGGTTTATTTATGTCCTCTAAAAAACCATGTAACTGCTCTCACATCCCGTTCCTGATGTTATAGGAAAATGGGAAATTAAACAGACACTTCACTAACAATATAGAGGAAGGAACCACTAATTGCCAAGGAGAACTCAGGTGCCTCAAAGTGTGAAATGCTGAGTTCCAGGGAAACAGCTTTTTCTAAATTCTCTCTTTTTTTTAGAAACAGAGTCTCACTTTATTGCCCTCAATAGAGTACTGTCGTGTCACAGCTCACAGCAACCTCCAGCTCCTGGGCTTAGGCGATTCTCTTGCCTCAGCCTCTTGAGTAGCTGGGACTACAGTCAACCACCACAATGCCTGGCTATTTTTTGTTGCAGTTTGGCAGGGGCTGGGTTCAAATCCACCACCCTCAGTATATGTTGCCGGCACCCTACTCACTGAGCCACAGGCACCGCCCTAAGACCGTTTCTTGATCTAATACTTAAAACTTTAAAATTTAATACTCTAAATTTAAAAAATAATAAATAAAATAAAAATTAATTATTAAAACTACTTAAAAAGGAGCCCAACTAAACAGTTTAAACAAGATTGATGACACATGGCTCTGCCTCCACTTCCATTTTTCACTTCACTTTTTCTCTTACTTTTTAATCATTGAATTATTAATTTAACAATAATACCTATAATAAAAACAAAGTTAATCCCAAACAAAAGGTCTTCAGTTCCTTGCTATAGTGAAGTTGACTCCTGAGCCTGCCTTTTTAAACTTCTACTTTAAATCTTTATTTACATTTTCTTTCATTCTCTGATCTCGGCCAAACACTAAAAATACCCACAGGGTTGTTTGGAACTAGTCTCCAACATAGTCACAGATGTGGGATGCAAATTATAAATTCTTTTTTTTTTTCTTCTTTGCGGTTTTGGTCAGGGCTGGGCTTGAACCTGCCACCCGTAGTGTATAGGGCCGGCGCCCTACTCCTTGAGCCACAGGCACCACCCAAATTATAAATTCTTGAACTCTTGTTTTTTTCTTTTTTTTTTTTTGAGAAAGAGTCTCACTATGTCTCCCTGGGTAGAGGGCCATGGCATCACAACTCACAGCAACCAACTCCTGGGCTTAGGCGATTCTCTTGCCTCAGCCTCCTGAGTAGATGGGACTACAGGTGCCTGCCACAATGCCCAGCTATTTTTTTTTTGCAGATGTCATGGTTGTTTAGCAGGTGGGGCTGGGTTCAAACCCACCACCCTTGATGTATGTGGCTGGCACCTGTAACCACTGTACTACAGGTGCCAAGCCTTTTTTTTTTTTATTCAGTCTCCATAGAGACCGTCAAAAATTGCCAATGCTGACTGAATTGCAAGTCATCAAGGCAGGGTATTGGGAAAAGTTTTCAATTGGCAATAATCATGCCTTGGATAAACCTCATTGGCTATGATACTGCCACTGTGCAAAACTTGAACTGTTGTTTAAACTCTATGCTGTCTCTCCCCCTCCTCATTGCTTCTGTGAGGAAAGAAGGGAGAAGGAAGAGAAGAAAGATTTGGAAAGTTCTTTACTGATTCTACTATACTCTGGTATTGCTCTACACCCAGAAGATGGGATCTAAATTTTGAGTAGTAAGGATATGTAACTCTCTTTCCTTTTCTCATCATTTTCTTTCAAACATCTCTAGGAAGGTATCACTTTAATTTGCTTTGGAAATTATGATTTATCTCGGCTTTTCAGTTGCTGGAACATCTACAGGTTCTTCCTGCTTTAGGGAGTCGCCACACAGTAATATTCTAAATATGAAGTTTTTTTAGCCATATAGTCTCAAGGTTGGTTTTTTTTTTTTTTTTTTTTTTTTTTGAGACAGAGCCTCAAGCTGTCACCCTGGGTAGAGTGCCATAGCATCACAACTCACAGCAACCTTCAACTCCTGGGCTCAAGCAATTCTGCCTCCGCCTCCCAAGTAGCTGGGACTACAGGCGCCTGCCACAAAGCCCGGCTATTTTTTGGTTGCAGCCAACCAAAATCGTTGTTTGGCAGCCTGGGCTGGATTCAAACCCACCAGCTCAGGTGTATGTGGCTGGCGCCTTAGCTACTTGAGCCACAGGCACCGAGCCTCAAGGTTGGTTTTTTATGGTCTTTCAGGTATGGGCTAATGGCATCTTCTCAGAAAGGTCTGCCATGACCTTTTTGTCAAATTCCATCATATCACTTTTTTTTCATTTCCCTTATAACTATCTGAAATTCAAGTTTATGAGAACAGAGGCTTCATGTATTCATAGATATATCCCCAGAGCCTAGACTATGACTTGTTATAGAGTTCAAGATCATGAATATTACATGTGACTAAATATGAAATGACCCTGAATATGAGCCACACACTACATTTTATTCCACTTGAAACCTGTGCCCTTTAGGAAATGAGGAAGACATAATCCAATATCTATGTAAAGCATTTAATGTGTTAATTCAGTTATACATACATTAAAATAACGTTATGTACGTAGTACAAATATGTTGCTTTTTTCTTGTACCTTATAAAATAATTTTATTCAGTAATTTAATTTATTAATTTTTAATCTAATTTTCACTATTAGATATATTTATCATTTTTAAGCTTTTTAAAAATCATTTAACTGAACTTTTTTAAAAGAGTATATCATCTTTACTTCTGTCAAAATTATTTGATGTACAGCAGATTTTGATGGTGTATGTTAGTAACTTTTTTCTGATTCCCTTTATTTTATAATATGGATATGTTGTACCCAACGCAAGTGGAATTATAGAGAAAATACCAGCACGCTGAGTTCAAATTAGATATGAGGTCTTTTATTGACCAGCTGACTGAGAAGTGTTCACACTCAAAAAATCTTGGTGATGCATAACAAAGGAAAGGAGTTCTTATATCTTTCTTTCAGTTGGGGCAGGGGAGAGGGTTGGAATCCCTAAAGTGAAGCAGTTTGCAAAAGTGAGACTTTGCAAGGTTACATATATAGGATAGGAGGTTGGCTAATTACAAGGGGAACCAGATGTTGCAAATGTGGTTTTACAAGGGTCTATAACTCTGGGCTAATCCTCTTGTCTCCGTAGGGTATGTTTGTTTAACAACCCATTTCTGCAAGGCCTCCATGCTCAGGGGCATGTTGTGATGAGGAGCAGAGAGGGAAGGAAAGTGCAAGATAGTATCTGTCTGGCATTTCAGATGCAGTTCTCTTTTCATTAATTTTATCAGCATACATATATATATTTCTACCTTTTATAGACCTATTATTAGAGGGTTTTGGTAGGGTGCTGTGCCATCACAGCTCACAGCAACCTCAAATTCATGGGCTTAAGCGGTTCTCTTGCCTCAGCCTCCCACGTAGCTGGGACTGCAGGCACCCACCACACACCTGGCTATTTTATTTATTTCTATATTTATTTTTGCAGCAGTTGTCATTGTTTTAGCTGACCCAGGCCAGGTTGTAACCCGCCAGCCTCAGTATATGTGGCTGGAGCCCTACCTACTGAGGTACAGGCACTGCCTATTATTAGAGTTTTGAGAATGCTTTATTTTTATATACTTTCCTAGGGTTCCCTGACTTGTGTTTGTTCATATATATATATAGAGAGAGAAAGAGGACTAGTTAATATTTCTTTTCAATGTTTTCAGACAGCTTTTACTAAGTTCCCATTAACTGCTATATCTATTTCTGTCATAACATTTCCAAGATGAATCATTTAATCCTGGAATGTATTGAAGTCCATTTGCCAGTTTTATTTTTATGTAGGTGATATTAAGAATGCTTGGGCAATATTTTTTTCCTGAGAACTTGGATATTTTCACAATTGAGGTGAATTTCACATCATCTATAAACTATTTCTACAGGTAGTCTTTTTTTTTTTTGGCTGGGTCCAGGTTTGAACCCGCCATCTCTGGCACATGGGGCCGATGTCCTACTCTTTTGAGCTACAGGCTCTGCCCTACATGTAGTCTTTTAAAATTTGTTATTAGTTTTTCAAAAATTTTATTTGTTTATTTGTTATTTCTTTACTTATCTTTACTGATGAGGTATCACTGTATTGCCCAGGCTGGAGTGCTGTGGCAATTCATAGGTTTGCTTATAGCTCACTGAACCTCAAAATCCTGGACTCCAGTGATCCTGAGTAGCTGGGACTACAGGTGCATATGCTGTGCCCAGATTATACACAGTACTTTTCAAAGATTTTCTATAAAACTGATCCATTAGAAATGATCTTTTAATATCATAACTCAGCATACATCCCTTGTCTTTGTGTCAAACTTGAGTTCTCTGCGAGAAAGTTTTCCTTACAGTTGAAAATACACCTTCATCCTACCATATGATTTTTCCCACATAGCAACATTCCATATTTGCAAATACGACCTCAAAGCCCCACTTAGTTGGAGGTTAATTCATTGTACAGGTAATGAAGACTATATTTCAAGGACTCTCTTTACCTGGAAGGGACCCTAGTCATGTGTTTTTATAAAATTTGGAAAAATATGTTATGTTGGGCAGCTCCTGTGGCTCAGTAAGTAGGGTGCTGGCCCCATTAGCAAGGGTGGCAAGTTCGAACCCAGCCCCAGCCAAACTGTAACCAAAAAATAGCTGGGCATTGTGGTGGGCACCTGGTCCCAGCTACTTGAGAGGCTAAGGTAAGCAAATCATTTAGGCCCAAGAGCTGAAGTTTGCTGTGAGCTGTGACACCACAGCACTCTACCAAGGGTGAGACTCTGTCTCTGAAAAAAAAAGTTATGTTGGTCCATATACTGGAGTGATAGTGTTAGCAGTTCACAGAAAAGTAGGCATAACTGGTGGAAATTATTTAAAAATAATAAAACTTCTAGAAATTATTCTTAGAGTATACAAGTACTTCAGATAATAAAACATTTCTTATAGAAAATCTTCTAAGTCAAGAGCAGCAGGAGTCTGTGGCATTTAATACATGGCCTCCCCTTCCCCCAGTTCAATTTGATGAAAGCTCCTTTCTGGGAGGAGTCTAGGAGACCCCACTTCCTGTCTCCTCAGCTCCCAATCAAAGGATGTGGTAATTTATTTTCTGAAAGGATGTAAAAAGAAAATCAAAGTTTCAGGGCCATCCAACTTCTTATGCAACAGAAAGGTGAGGCCTTCTGGTACCTGTGAAGAACTAACTTCACAGATGATGCAAAAAGGAAATTGCTTGCTAACCTCCCATAAGGAAGGATATATAACTTGGACTTATGTCTAGCACCTAAAACTAAAGCCTATTTGGAATCCACACTAGTAATAAATTACAAGTTTGTCTTTTCACATAACAGGAGACAAGACAGAATCAGGCATTATTTTACCTACCAAGTTACCCACATAACTGATGCTTCCTTCACTCTTTTTTTTTTTTTCCCTTCTAACATTCCCCTTATTTTATATAAAATGTAGATGCTCTGGGTCTCACAGGAATATAACATTTTCCCTCATATCCCTCTTCCCCTGCCCCCTCCACCCTGAACCTTTTTCTTTCTCTCTGTATTCCTTTAAAATGCTAAAGGTTCCAATTCACCTGCAGCTTGTTTGCAGTTCCTGTTTTTCTCAGGTGCATTCTCAAAATCTTGGCTTAATAAACCTTAGTTGAATGATCCTTGTCTTCTGCCACTTATTATTTAATATGGGACAAAACATCCATGTTTCTCATTCCATCTGTTACAGGTTGAATTTTGTCTCCCTTCCCCCCTCCCAATAATTCATATTTTGAAGTCTTAACCCCAGGACCTGAAAATGTAACCACATTCAGAGATACAGTCTTTTTCAAAAATTTAATTAAATCACTTTAGGGGGCATAAATGGTTGTTATATGAATGAATTACATAGTGGTGAAGTCCATCCTTTTAATGTACTTGTCACTTGAATAGTGTACATTGTACTCAATAGGTAATTTTTCCCACCCCACCCCCTTCTTTTGAGTCTTCAATGTCCAATTTGTCACTCTATATGACCAGGCACATCCATTGCTTATGTCCCAATTGTAAGTGAGAACATGCAGTATTTTTTTGTTCCTGGGTCACTTCACTTAGGATAATGGCCTCCAGTTAATTCTATTCAAGTCGCTGCAAATAACATTATTTCATGCTTTTTCATGGCTAAGTAGTACTCTACAGTATACATATACCACATTTTCTTTATCCTCTCATTAGTTGATGGGTACTAAGTTTGATTCTATATTTTTGCAATTGTGAATTATGGTGTGATAAATGCATAATAGCAAGATATTATTTATTTTTTATTATTTATTTATTTGTTTATTTTGAGACAGAGTCTCAGTTTGACACAATTGATGGAGTGCTGTGACATCATAGCTCACAGCAACCTCAAACTCTTGGGCTCAAGGAATCCTCCTGTCTCAGCCAAGTAGCTGGGATTACAGGCACCTGCCACAATGCTATTTTTAGAGATGGGATCTTGCTCTTGCTCAGGCTTGTCTTGAACTCCTGAGCTCAAGCAATCTGCCTGACTCAGCCTCCCAGAATGCTAGGATTACAAGTGTGAGCCACCATGCCCAGCCCTGAAGCATCTTTTTAAAATAGATATTTCTTTACCTTTGGGTAGTCTCTTGCATGCTGGATCAAATGGTAGATCTACTTATAGTTCTTCAAGGAATCTCCATAGTGTTTCCTATAGAAATTGTCCTAATTTACCTTCCCATCCACAGCATATAAGTGACCCAGTCCTGCCTGGTTTTGCCCCCTACCCATCTCAGCAGCAGAACACATGTTAGGGTCCCCCTAGGAATCCCTGTTCCATATTCCTACCCATTGCCTGAGTAATACTGTGAGTACATTTTAGTACTTCTCACAGCCATATTTAGAATACTGTAAGATTGTAATAGTGGTGTATAAAGCAATTTTTGTTCTAGCATGAAAATTGAAAGAAAAATCTATTAATAACAACTTTAGTTAAAATAAATTATCGAGGGATACCTACTAAAAAGGAATGAAACTTCTGATACCAAAAATATCAAATGTATGTCTGTAAGGAGTAAAATTAGAGAGTTATATATAATCAAAATTAAGTTATCAGCTGGAAAGAATAAGATGTTTTTATACTCATGGTAACCACAAAACAAAAATCAATAGTAGATACATGCACAAGAATAAAAAAAAGGAACAAAAAATTGAAAGTATACCACTACATAAATTCATCAAAAACACAGAGAAAGAGTGCAAGAGAGGAAAAAAATAACAAGAATATATCCAGCAAGGATGAAGACCTTTATGATTATCACTTCCACTTAACAAATAATTAAAGTATTTATTCTTCCTTATGATTGTCTCAACAATGTTTTCTTTTCTCTCACTTATTTCATTATAAGAATATAGAGTATAATACATATTACATACAAAATATGTGTTAATCAACTATTCATTTTATTGGTAAGGATCTGGTTAACAGTAAGCTATTAGTAGTAAAGTTTTGAGGAAATCAAAAGTTATACGTGAATTTGACTGTGTAGGAGGCTAGCACCCCTAACCCCTGCACTGTTCAAAGGTCAACTATATATGCACCAAACATCAGAGCACCTAAGTATATAAAGCAAATATTAAAGGACCTAAAGAGAGAGAAAGCTTACAATATAATAATAGGAGGGGACTTCAATGCTTCACTCTTAATAATAAATTGGTCATCCAGACAAATTAACAAGAAAAAATTGGATTTGAAGAATACTTTAGAACAAATTAACATAATACACTTATACAGAACATTCCATCCAGCAGCAACTTCATACACATTCTCCTCAAGTATATATGGATCATTCTCTAGAACGCATCATACATCAGGCCACAAAACATGTCTTAGCAAATTTAAAATGTTTGAAATCATATCCAGTATCTTTTCTGACACAATGGTATTAAGCTAGAAATCAATAACAGGAAGAATTCTGAAAAATTCCCAAATGCATGAAAGTAAAAAAACATGTTTGTGAACAACTAATCAATAAAGAATTTAAAAGGGAAAGTTAAAAATATCTGGAGACAAATAAAATGTAAACACAATATATCAAAACCTTTGGGATATAGCAAATGTGATTCTAACAGAAAATTTTACAGCAATAGATACCTACATTAAAAAAGAAGAAAGATCTCAAATAAGCAACCTAATTTTACTCTTCCAATAAGTAAAAAAAGCAGAAAAATCTAAGCCCAAAGTTAGCTGAAGGAAGGAAATAATAAAGGTAGATATAAATGAAATAGAGACTAGGAAAAGGAAACAAAGGATTGATGAAACTAAAAATTCATTCTTTCAAAAGATAAAATAAACTCTTTACCTATACTAAAAAAAAAAAAAAGAAGATTCAAATACACTCAGAAATGAGACATTACAACTGATAGATATTAATGATTATGTTAATTAGCTGACTTTAATTGTTCCCATATTGTATTCATAATCATAACATCACTTTCTACTTCACAAATATACATGATTTGTCAATTTACAATAAAAATAAAACATTTAAAAAAGAACTTACTTTGATGTTACTTATGTATAATAGATTAAAATTTTTTAATGGTTACACAGTTCTTTTTTAAACTTAAATTTGTTTCTGGACTATCCATTAAGTCCCATTGCCTGTTTATTCTTATGATACTCAGTGCCACACTTTAAAAATGATTCTATTTTATATTTTGTTTTAATATCTGATTCTGAAATTTTTTTCTAGTACATTGTTTTGGCTTCTCCTAACACTTCTGAATGAAAATTAGGATTCTATAGTGAAGAACCTCCAAAATTTTTATTGGCAATGGATTGGATATAGTAGGCCAATATAAATTGATTTATGGATAATTAATTTATTTATTTATTAGCTTCCATTTTAGATCATGGTCTATAGCTCTATTTCTTCTAAACCCTTTTTTAGTTTTATTAGTTGGTAGTTTTCTAGGTCTTTATTTAAATTCATATTTTATGGTCAGTTTATTGATGTAGTTAAAAAAATTAATAATACTAATAATTTAACATGTCAAATATATTTTTTTGACCAGAGATTATTGTTTTATGACAGAATATCCCCAACTGTAAGCTTAAGGGCTGGAGATTGTAGACCTAGACGGTATATATAGAGAAGGTGGAGGGTCCACTCATACATGCCTTCTGCACAGAGGTCACCACTTCCTCTCCCAATGTCCAGGAGTTCATCAGTGCCCACAGGCCAGGCAGCCTCCACCCAAGTGAAAGCTACACACTACACACCGAAGTCCAGTGAAGTGTCCCAGATCTCTCTTACTTGCAGCCGGTATGTGATCCAAAACTATTCAACAGGAGTGATGCCCAACTGTGCCCATGGTTTTGTTCAGTCACATCAGATTTATGCCATGTTCACAGCAGTTCAACGTTATCCCTAGGTCCTAACTTATTTTAGGACCAAAGTACTCCTTAAGTAAGAGAAGATATATTGAGAAAATATAGAAGGGTGGTATATATGAGGGGGGAAAAGTCTACCTTAAACAGAAAATGTATGAGATCTCCCCACTGTAAAATACATACCAGTTACATGATTTAGTATCTCTTGAGCCCTTGTGCATAATTTCAAACATAGGATGCAGTTAAGGATCATATTAGTAATTAGGACATAAATAAGCATGAATTGAATTGCTCAGCAGGTGAAATATTGACTTTATAATTAAGCTTCACTTTGTAATCTTTATGACTTAGCAAAAATGCAAGCATTTCTCTTGAGAGGATGGATATTCTAAATACCTTGACTTGAGATTACACATTGCATGTAACAAAATATCACATGCACTCCATTGGTAAAAACTTTTTTTAAAAGGAAAACAAATTCAAGTGTCATGATTTCAAGATAAGTTTAGCAGCCATTGTTTGGCCTTCTGAAGTTGTTCATTCAATTTGTTCCTTGGGGAGAAGAAGCTGGGTAGTAGGGAGATTATGTTTCTGAGATTTTTAGAGTATGGTGCAGGGCTTGTGTGCTGATGCTCTCCTTTGGAGATCCTGGACCTCTCTTTTTAGTTTGTTGCTTTCATTGTGGAATCCCTCCTTGAGAAGTCGTTCCTGCTCCTGAAAGGAAAAAGTGGAGACTAAACTAGTACAGCTTCACACATCTCCCATACTTGCCAAATTAAGTTCCCTTTTGGTACTTATATTGATCCCTCAAGAGCTTTGAACACTCTTAAAATCCTTTCTTCCCTTAATTTCCATTGCATCACTATCTCCTGAGTCTCTTATACCCACCAATAAAATTTCTGGTACTTTTTAAGCTTCAGAAATACTGTCTTACAGTTTTTAAAATACTGTTAACCTAGAATTTTATTCTTGGGTTTCTTCACTTCACCTATGTATAACACAGTCTTTCTGCAAAAGACATCACTTTCCTGTTTTTATTTTTGTCTAATCTCTGATCTATATAGTATGGACTCCCAATGGGAGAATAATAGTTCCTGTACCATTAGGTAATTATTTGGTTTTGGAATGCCTGTAAAACACCCATGGAGTGCCTAGTGATGAATAGCTACTGTCTTAGTGATAGCATAATGAAATATTCCATGGGATTTTATCCTGCAAGTAAACAGCCTTTAGTAATCAGAGGGCCAGGGTAAAAGCAGTTAGGGAATGAAAAATGTAGTAGAGTGTCTGGGCTAGAAAGTTCTTTGGGAGGCATTCAGTTCCTATCCTTATGCTTTTTTTTTCTTTAAGATAGTCTCATTATGTCACCCTTGGTAGAGTGCTGCGGTGTCACAGCTTATAGCAACCTCAAACTCTTAGGCTTAAGCAATTCCTCTTGCCTCAGCCTCCCAAGTAGCTGGGACTACAGGCGCCTGCCACAATGCCTGGCTATTTTTGTTGTTGTTGTTTGGCAGGCCCGGGCCAGGTTTGAACCCTCCAACCCTGGTGGATGTGGCTGGTGCCCTGGCTGCTGAACTACAGGCGCCAAGCCTCATCCTTAGGCTTTTTGATTTGGGACAATGTAAGAGAACATTGAGAAGATGCCATCTAATACCTGAAGTTTAATAGCTATTATCCTCTCTTGTTCTTCCAGCAACTGGGCCCTGTCCCTCTCCATCTTCTCAGTCAACTGTCTCACATGCTCCTGATAACTCTTCTCTTTCTGTTCCATCATCTGCTCAGTCTTCTTTTGCATTTCCTCCAACATCTGCTGTGCGGCTTCTGCAGATTCAGCCTTTATGCGTTCCACTGAGGAAGAAAAAGCAGCAGAGAAACATGATTAGTAAATTGCATGAGTTCCTTTTGCCTTTCACCCTCTTTTGCTTTATTCTCATGTCATTGAGAAAATCCATTGTAAGTTTTGCACTGAGTTAGCAGAAGACAGATGGCCACACATACCAGTTAAATAACAACCATAGAACTAAGAATGATACTTGCTATTCTTTCTCTATAGTAGTAATTCCAGGTAAACCGATATGGCTAACTAACATTTAGTACGGGTCTCTAATCATGGAGTGCTTTCAGTTGTTCTTACCTTCAATCTCTTTTTCCTTTTCTGTTAGCGACTTATCAGTCTTTAGAAGGGCATCAGCCACATCCTCTTTGGACTTTAAGTATTTTCTCAGCATCTCTTCTGCCTAGTTAAACAGGAAGTTAGAATGAGGGAATAGTGACTATGGTTAAGGCAAAATCCTGTAATACATCTGTTAATTCCATGTAATTTTACTATCATGTAACAATTCACTTTGTAATTCAAAAAGTATTTCAAGTTTAGCAGGTCTAAAATCCAAGTCTGGATCCCTCCTACACCTGTTCCTTCCCAATCACTCCAATTTTAATAATTATAAACTCTCTTCATCCAACAAAATCCTTAATACTTTCTTCGCTGCATACACTCCACACACAATCATCTGCTAAGTGTGTTGGCTTCAGCTTTAAAATACAATCAGAATCCATCTTTTGTCACCTGCTCCACTCAAACACCTGAGTCCAAGCACCATCACTTCTAATGGGGACTGCTGCTACAGCTTTATCCTCTCTCACTTCCCTACAAGCCATTCACAAGTGGCCAGAGTTTTGCTACATTATTTTAAGAAAGCTTATGATGGGCGGTGCCTGTGGCTCAAAGGAGTAGAGCGCTGTCCCCATATGCTGGAGGTGGCGGGTTCAAACCCAGCCCCAGCCAAAAACTGCAACAAAAAAAAAAAAGGAAGGAAGGAAAGAAAGAAGGAAGGAAGGAAGGAAGGAAGGAAGGAAGGAAGGAAGGAAGGAAGGAAGGAAGGAAGGAAGGAAGCAAGCTCATGTGATTCTTCTACTCAAAACCCTCTACTGACTTTCTAACTCATCAAAATACACTCCCAAATCTTTCAGTGGACTTCAACATACTCCCCTATCTGGCCTCTGTGCTCTGACTGTTCTCACCCTGTCTCCTGCCAGTCCCTCCGTGGCTCACTGCCTGCTAGCACTTTAGCTTTTTTTTACTATTCTTAGAACATAAGCCAATTTATTCTTCCAAACCATTTCTATTGTTTGAAATTTTCTTCCCCTAGAAGTCCATTGCTTGACTCCCTACTTGCTTTGAAGATTCTGCTGAAACTTTACTTCACCTTATAGGCCTTTTCTAAGAACATATATGCACAAAATTGTCCCACATTTCCTTCCCCTTCTATATCTATATTCTTTTTTATTCTTCAGAGCTTTTTTGACACTTTGGCAGGGATTGCTGGAGTCATCCTAAATCTCTCTTCTCTCCTGGGTACTTTGTAACAGAACTCTGATTTTATTCTCAGCTAAACATATGGCAGATCATGATACTATACTGTCTTCTACTCAACATCCCTTAAACCTGGGATGTCCATAAGATTGAATTCTGTTAATAACGTGTAATCAGAAGTATGATGTGTGTTTAGTGCTTACTAGAAATCTCTTTAAAGGGAATTGACTCACAGCCTCTTACTCTTCTATTTTCCCCTCTTCTTTTCCACCTATAATGTGGAACTAGAGGCTGCAATTCTAAGAGGCATCTTAGAGCAGAAATTGACCTGGAAGATGGAGGCTGTGTGCTAAGGGGCTGGAGTAGAACGAAAGGAGGGGCCTGGGACCAAGATGCATATGGAGCCATCACAGCAGCACTAGCCCTCTTCCTGACTTCTTGCACAGAAGGAAGAAGGATGCATTTGTATTTTTTAAAGCCACTGTTGTTTTTAAGAATGTATATCCAAATCTAATTCTATGTGACATAACCTGAGGATACCAGCACTGAAGAACTGTTAAGAGCACAGATCTTGGGCGGTGCCAGTGGCTCAGTAGGTAGGGTACTAGCACCATATAACGAGGGTGGTGGATTCAAACCCAGCCCCGACCAAACTGCAACAAAAAAATAGCCAGGTGTTATGGTGAGCACCTGTAGTCCCAGCTGCTCAGGAGGCTGAGGCAAGAGAATTGCCTAAGCCCAGGAGTTGGAGGTTGCTATGAGCTGTGTGACATCACTGCACACTACTGAGATCAACAAAGTGACACTCTGTCTCTACAAAAAAAAAAAAAAAAAAGAGCACAGATCCTTCGACCTAATCTTGTATTCGGGCTGCACTGCTCATGACCTGCATGACATAGGGTGACTCCTTGTACTTCTCTATGCCTCATTATTTTTATAAAATTGGGATAATAAAAGTATGTACTTGGCAGGATTGTTGTATTAAATGAATTAAGCTTTTAGCCTTGTTCCTGGAACACAGCATGGCAAGTGCTAATTTTTTTTTTTTTTTTTGAGATAGTCTTACTATGTTGCCCTAGGTAGAGTGCCATGGTGTTACAGCTCACAGCAACCTCAAACTCTTGGGTTTAAGCGATTTTCTTGCCTCAGTTTCCCAAGTAGCTGGGACCATAGGTGTCTGTCACAATGCCCGGCTATATTTTTGTTGTTGTAGTTGTTGTTGTTTGGCAGGCCTGGGCTGGGTTTGAACCTGCCAGCTCCAGTGTACGTGGCCAGTGCCCTAGCCGCTGAGCTATAGGCGCTGAGCCAGTGCTACCTATTTAAGTATTAACTATTATTATATTATTATTATTGCCTATAAATATTTGGAGAGAACTTGGTCTTTGAGTATTTCTTTTTTTCTTTTTTTAATTGGTCTATCCCCAGCAACTTGACAGATGCCCAGCATGCTGTTTGGCCAAACGATTATCAAACAACTGGATAAATAAGTGAGCAAATTCCATGAACATTTTTTGAGGGCTCAGTCTAGGCTCCCAATGAGGAGCTGGCTACCTATCTCATGGTAGGTTCTCATTGAATGAATCAGTAAATGAATGACTGAAAGGCAAAGGCCCTCTGTACCAACTGCAATGCCAGATTTGTTTGGTTGGTTTTTTATTCCCAGTGGGGTTTGAAAGTTTCCTTAGCAAGTCCCCAGAAATGGTACCCATTGTGTAGTTTACCTGTATTCCTTTTCTGGGAACTTTGTCGTACTTATCCTGCAGCTCATGCTTCCTCTGAATGAAGAGCTGATAACCTCCTGCTTTAGAAAACACCCCCAGCTTCACCTCCTCTTCTAGAGGACCAAAAATATCCTCAAGTAATTCCGTGCAATAATCTGCTGATGCTTTCATATTCTGCTTACAATAGTCATCTCGCCTTACATCCAACTGGGTCTGTGAAGTGACAAGATACACAATAAAGCCATGAGGAGGATGTTACCCACACACAGACTGCTAAGAAGTGCTCCCCCTGCAGAGACTGTGGCATCTAGATAGGGCCACACTCATCACCTTCCCTAAGACAAGTGCTCTCTGCAAAAATGTATCTGCTTCCCCATGATTTCCTGGAACCACATCCCCTGTTTTCCTGCTTCAGAGAATGAGTTTCAAAGCACAGACACTGTTTCATAGGAAACTTTTCATTTTCAAGTCTGCAATTTCAGAATGGTTCAGGGCACAAATAATGGAGTCAGGCAGGTCTGTGCCATCATGTTGTGGCTTTGTGACATTCAGCTTTTGTGAACTGAGGGTTCCTTGTCTGTACACAGAGAATGGGGGATAGATGGCTGTCCTAGGTTTCTCATCAGGATTTTCTGAGCTGATGTAAAGTATGAAGCCCACAGACTTTTCCATAAGTCCTCAGTAAGGCATCAGTGATTATTTACTACATTCTCTAATATAAGAATATTTCTGTATATTTCTCTTTGTATAGGACTAATGAAAGTAATGAAGATTGTACCATTAAGTACTTTCAATATTTAGCAAATCTAATAAACAGCACCTTTATCTACATTAAATCAATCAAGATGATACACATCAAGCTTATTTCTTCCTTAGGTTGAAAGGGTGTGATTTTCCAATTACATTGACTGCTTAAGTTTCACCAGAATCTCTGACTGTAGCAATGTATTATTTGTAAAACCCAGAGGAAGGATTTTCACCTGTCAAGGTGAAAATTCACCTGTCATTCTTCAGGCAATAATACTTCCTTAACTTGGAATAAGGGAGACTTTGGACACATTCCCTAATAAACTTCTTACGATTGGTTTCTCTTTCTTGGTCTCCTGAATGTTTTACCCATTACTTAAATTAAGAAAAAGCAACAAGGTTTTAGGATTATTTAAAAAGTAATTGAATCCCCACAGATAATTATTAGGGAATATGAAAGCAATGTATTTTTTCAACTACAAAAGAAAAAAGTAAATTGGTCCTTTATAAATGAAGTTGTGCAACTTATTTCCTTAAAATACAACATTCAGAGTGGTAGAAATAAAAAAATGGATTTTTATAAAAAATATTTGGCTAGTTATGGTGCTTTTTTTTATAAGTCTAGAGTAGGTATATCTTAAACTTTTAAAAATGATTGTAAATATGCACACATAGCTAAGTGCTACTATCTCAGGGTCTAGAAAAAATTACTCTCCTCAAAAAGAAGGGCCTGTATTTTGCTGACTTTCAGGAACAAGAACATCAAATATACCCCTAATTTCTTCTGGAAAGTTTGGTCCACATCCTTGAAAGAGTACTTCATGAATATTTCAATGGCCTCTTTCTCAATGGCCCTGTGCAGGTCCAGCAGCTCCAGGAGGGTCTCTGTGGGCAGCTGCACCTTCTGGCTCATCTGCTGCTCATAGTGGTCAATGGCCTTTTGCACTGCAGCTGCATTCTCTAACTGGGCCAAGGCCAGGACTGCATTCTCCATGCAGGGCAGATCCCCACTGCTGATTGCATCTACATAGGTCAGTACCAGATTCTCTAGACCTACAAAAAAGAATTTCAAAAATTATGGGTATCAGTTGGTAGACAGAGTATTTTGTATGCTTTTCAAATAAGTATCACAAACAATAGAGTTGAGGATTTTCTGAGAAAGCATAGTAACAAAATAATTTCTTAGCTTCTAGGTGCAGAGGAAATTAAAACTACGCTTCCTCCTGCTTGCTTCACCCAAAAGGAAGATGTCTGAATGCATAGATTATAGGAAGGATATTACAGGGCTGAGATATCAGGTCTAGATCTTTCCTTACCCTTCTTCTCTTGCCTCTCTCCCTGTAATCCCTTTTTCTCTTCATTCCTAATTTATTAAAAAAGTCAAGGAGGAAAATTAGCCTTTTTCATTTTTATTTTCCTTAGTGGTGCAAGCCACTAGTCTTATGTCTGGCTTACATAAATGGGTCTTCCAGATATTCTCTTGCCAGAGATACAGATGGGGTGACCAACTCTTTGGATTTGTCTAGGGCTCTGCTGAATTTAGCACTGAAAGTTACATATCCCAGAAAAATCCAGTCTTGGACTGGATTAAAGTGGTTTGTCACCCTAAAGGTGATAGTTCTTTATTAAAGTGATTTGTCACCCAAAAGGTGATAGTTCTTTGTAACCCAATCCTATAAATTCTCTTTTTATAGTTTTGAGTACCAGCTATTGGATGACTGGGGAATTTTGTTTCCTGACTTGACCTTATTTCTAAGTTTTGGCTTTGTGTATTTAATGTCTGTGCCATATCCCTTACTGCATATATCAGTAGAAACTCAATGTTAAATAATCCAAATATAAACAATTCATCCATTCTGAAAAATGATTCTTCCTGATATTACCATCTCAGTAAGTAACACATCCATTCAAGCAGTTGTGAAGCTTGAAACCTGGGGACAGGTTGGGCACTTCCTTCTATATAGTTCTTCCATACATCCGTTACCAAGCCTTTGGGATTTGAAATCCAAAATACGGTTAGGTCTTGTCTATTTTGACCATAATCTTGGCCTAACCCAATCCTCACTTATTGCTAAACCACTGCAAATAGCATCCATCCTCTCATTCCCTCCCCGACACCGCTCTGACAAATTATCTACAAAATACTCTAAGATAGGTATAAACATGAATTTTACCTCACTGCCCAAAATTCTTCAAGGTCCTTCCACAGAGTTTAAACAAACTCTAATCTCCTTAAGTCCTCTGCCTGTCCTTTTAAAATCCAATCTCTGCAAGACTTCTCCAAATCATGGCGTCACTCTAATTCAGCACACTCTGATCCAATCACATTTCCTTTATTTTCTTGAATTTACAAAGTTCTTTCCTACCTCAGGCCTTTCCACATGACATGATATCTATCTTCAAAGCTCTTACTCCCTATGCTTCTGGTTAACTCCTACTCATTTCTAAAGTCTCAGCATCTTACATGTGGCTTTCATCGGCAACCTCTATCTCATAGTGTAAATCTCTATCTTCTTAGACTTTACTCTTTCATAGCAGCCTATTATGTTGATTTTTTGTGTTAATCACTATCTACCATTATACATTTTCAAACTTTAAACCAAAATCTTTTGCTCCTACTTTGCTGGAATGAGACCAGAAATCACATTTCTTTTATTCATCATTATACCCAGTTCACATATTACCACCATTCCCTAAATACTTTCAAACTGCTGAGCAAGAGAATTATTACACTATAGTCAGTGGTAAAGTCTCATTTACAGAGAGTGTTTGCTTTTCTTTCTGTGTTGCTCTGTACATAGCTCCTGGAAGCCTATTTCACAAATGGGGAGCTGAGAGGCTGGTGGAAAAGATTACCATAGTAGAATTAAATCTTATTCTATTCTTATCTTTTTTTCCCCCTTGGTGTTATGAGATAATGCTAGAAAGGGTTTTAGTTTCCACGTAAAATTAATTTGATCTTTGTGTTATATTTTCTTGGACATCATTAGTCTATGTATTTTCCAGAAGTAACTTTTTTGCTTTTCTGTTTTACCCTCTACATTGGGCAGAAGGAAAGTCCAGGTTAGAAGTAGGTGGAGAGGCTCGGCGCCTATAGCTCAACCGGCTAAGGCGCCAGCCACGTACACCTAAGGTGGCAGGTTCG